GGTAAGGGCAGAGGGAGAGGAAGCAAGCTCTTTCAGGTCTCTTCCTATAAGGGCACTAGTGCCATTCATGAGGGCTCTACCCTCATGATGTAATTATTTCCCAAAGGCCCCACCTCCTAATACATTGCACTCAGGATTAGGCATCAGTATATGAGTTGGAGGGTGGGGGGCATAAACATTCATCCCATAGTATTTATAATGTCACTAATATCAATTATATAGAGTTTTCAGAAAAGGCTGCTAAATGTTAATCAATACACTTTTTATAGCAAGTTTTAATTATTATAGAAATACATCTGAAGTACACACACAACTACATATCTATATATAATAGATTAGATTGGATAATCTGTATAAACAGACACATTTGTGTGTTATAATTTAAATCAAGCAAATGTCAAATGTAGAACTCACACATATAATCATATACAAATCATTCCCCCCACCCCCCACCCCCCAAAAAAGTAGTTTACCAACTCAGTCATTAAATTTCCCCTGCTTGGACCACTTTATCTGGCTCCCATTCAAATGCAGCTGAGCTAGCTAGGCAGCTGAGATGATGCCCTCACATTCTGTATGGAAGAAGAATGAACTGAGGTGTGGTCTGGTGTGCTCTAAAAGGTAGACTCGGGAATGAGATAGGCTTCCACTAAGAATTATTTGTTATAGAGTCAATTCTGTACATTTTAAGCCCTGCTATGTTAATTTCTTTTTACTGAAGAATCATCTTTATTCATGGAGACCTCTATCCTCACATATGAAGACACAAGTGTTCGTAATTCAGGGCTTGATGCCTTCCTATAAGGCACTAGAGCCATTCATGAGAATGACATGATAGCCTGTCATTCTCATTAATTCACACTCATTTCCATCCTAAACCAGATCATTCCAATCATTCATTCTACTTGAAAGTTACTGAGTGCTCACATGTGCTGGGAATGATTCTAAGTTCAGAGATGGAACAGTTACGTAGAGTGTTTGGGGGGTGAGAGATGGGAGAAGAAATGAAAGTCAGTAATAGGCAATAAACAAGTGGAAGGAATTTTAGAGACAGAACAGGGAGTCTTAGGAAATAAGGGGAGTTCATGGGAGAGGAATGCATAAGTTGGGGCTTGGAGACACCCAAATGCTTACCTTACTTTTACAGAGGATAGAAAAAAGTTACAGGAGTCAGGCATATTTTCACAGAGGATAAAGAAAAGTCATAAGATGCCAGGAAGAGGGGAACATATTTTCATAAAGGATAGAAGAATGTTGCAAGATAAGGGGGAGATAAGGAGGAGGCACCACATGGGCTTTGACCTTTGAAACTGATACTATGTAGCAGAGTGACCAATGAGGACAGCATGGGGGTCCTAAATTAAGGAAGGGTCCAATTAGAAAAGGTCATGTTCAGACAAAGAGCTACAGCCTTTACAAAGAGACTCAGCAGATTTTAGATTTTTTTATTTTTCCCATTAGAGAGACCGAGTGAGCAGGTTTTTTCTATTTAGGGACCCCTCCCCAGGGAGAGTTGTATACACTTACAATAAACTTCCACATTTTTATTAAAGAAATCTTTTAGTCCATGAATTTATTCTTCAACTTCTTAGGACAAAGACTCACAGAAAAAGAATCTGCACCCCGAACTCCACATTTCACAAAGAAACAAGCAACATATTTTTAATTTCAGACAAAGGTAAGTACAATGAAGAGGTTAAAACATGCTTCTCCCCCCATTCTGCCCCTTCTTCCTCATCCCCACCTTATCATCTGTTAATGTTTTCTAACAACTTCTTCCACTCAATCCTGAATAAATCATTTCCTCCTTTTGTGGACCCACTGATCTCACCCCCACTTCTATCCTGTCACTTTACCATATGTGTTTACCTGCTTTATCTTTCCCAAAGAGACTGTTAAGCTCCTGTAGAGTAAAGGTCAGACTTTTTTTTTCATAATGATTTTTCAGTTGGAATTCCTGGCATATGTATTGGTTTTGCTTTACCATATAACATTTTCAATAAATTAACTGAAATAAAAAAGCCACTAACGGTAGGCTCACATTGTACAACTTGAGGCTTAGTAGGAGTGACTATGCTGATGTGATCACAATATCATAAAGATTTTATGATATTCTCATCAAAACCATATTCTATTGTTTAATCTAGTAGCCTTTACCCAGTGTACATTTTTTTTAAAGTTACAATTTAGAATTCACACTACTAAAGTGATGTCTGTCAGAAATTGAACTGAACAAGTATATAGTAAGAGTTAAGAGCCCAGGGGCACCAGAGAAAAGATATTATATTTCCCAGAACACACAGAACTCCCTTCCAGAGAGAGAGTTAGAGCAGCGAATTGTAATACTCAGATAGCAACATAGCATTGGCAAGTGACTAAACAATTTGAGGCAGCCTTCCAGTATATGAAAGTACACTGTGACCCCACATGGCTGCAGGCCATCTCTCTGAGGGCTCTAACCAGCTCAGTTCTTTATTCAGTGCCTCCTAGGGAACTACCTGCTCTAAGGTAGGCAGAGGGAAAACTCTCCATTGCAGTAATGAAGAGCTTCTAGGTGGTTAGGACTCATCTTCATGATAATGGATATAGTAGGACCAGAGTGTAAACCCACAGAAATGATTGCTTTGAACATTAATGAGAAATGCCTTATATTGTTGCCAAACTAGTTAGAGAAGAATCATGCCAAAAGCTGTATTACCCATTAGATATCACACTTGGGTTTTATTAAGAGTTACAGTCAAACCTCGATTCTCAAACGTCTCCCATCTCAAGCAATCTGACAACCCTTTCAGGCTGATACCTGTATGATCAGTCACATGTTCTCAGGCAACAAAGGAGAGAATGTGTGTATATGAGTCAGTTTACTACTGTTAAAATCTCAGAATATTGTGCTGTGAATATTTTTGTGTTTTTTTTTGTTGTTGCTGCTTTAATTATTATTAAATTTTCATTTTTTACTGTACATTTCCTTTCCTTCCTGTTAAATTTTCATTTACATTTTATATACTTTTTATGTGTTTATTTATAGATTAAACAGTGCATTAGGCATGTACTGTGTATAAGAAAGCTTAAAACAGAATTATTTGGAAGTCTGGAACGGACTAATTCAATTTACATTATTTCTAATGGGAAAAAATAGACTTATTTTTTCAGTTAAGTTTAGGAAGTGAATAGTGAAAAGTATTTTCCATTTTTATTTTGCTAATGGAAAATCTGAACCAAAAAAGATGCTGAATCAGTGAATCTCAGAAGAAGAAACATGTTATTAGGAAGACAACAGTGGGCTTTGCCAGAATCGCTCTATGTGGTCTCTTCATAAGGATAGAAAATAGTTGACATAGATTAGTTGAAGAGGAAATTTTCATTAATAGAAGGTAAGTCCTGTTCTATCATTATGGTACCCATTGCTCCTAAAATTAGAAATAACTACTGCTTATTGAGCACATACCATGTATCAGCCAATATACTAGGTGTTTCATGTAATTATCTAATTTAATTTTCCTAATAATAGTACATAGTATCAATATCCCATTTTCACAGGGAAACTGAAGCTCAGAAATCTTGAGTAATTAGCTCAAAGTCTTACAGGTGGTAAATTAAAGAGACAGGATTAGAAACCAATGTGTCTGACTTTTTACATTTGCATTCTTCCCAATGTATCAATTGCCTTGAGGATAATTAATTTCAAAGATCAAATGTCATCCCTCCACCATTTAAAAAAATATTTAAATTATTGTTCAAGAATAAGACTTGACTCTACATTTCACTTCTGAGTTTTCAGGTTTTTTAAAACCCAAGTGTGATATCTAATGGGTAATACAGCTTTTAGTATGATTCTTCTCTAACTAGTTTGGCAACAATATAAGGCATTTTCTCATTAATGTTCAAAGCAATCATTTCTGTGGGTTTGCGCTCTGGTCCTTATATAGCCACTATCATGAAGATGAATCCTAACCACCTAAGAATTCTTTTCACAGTCAGAATTTCAAAGATTTAATTCTTTTAACTTAATCTGAATAACTAAATGCAAGCATATTTTTGATGAAAGAGACCAGCTAAGTACAAGCTTATCCCATTGGTCGTTCTGGCCCCATTACAGTGTTTCAATCCAGAATGACGCTTCTGGTGGGATTATGAGAGCTCACACACAATGTGGTCAAAGAGGAAGAGACGGGTTCTGAGGATGACATAACAGGTATGGCAGTGGATACTTAAAACATTGCACAATACAAACATTCAAATTAAGTTTCCTGGAATAAGTGACCTTCAAGAGAAAAGGGGGGTGGGGAGAGAAGGTAGATGGGAAGGGATAGAGAAATTCAAGGCCTGAAACAGAGGGCATGTTACAATAACTGTGTCAAATTATCTCACGACCATCACAAACTAAACTGAAGTTATTTCCTCAAAAGTCATTCAACCCAAGCATGCTCAACATCTCTTACCATACTTGGATGTTGTTTGATTCACTCTAAAGGAATGAACACTTAAGTGATTTTCAACAAATCCTGTTACACCATCCTGCTGACAAGTCTTTATTTTTCACAGACGTGATTGTAGTTTCATGCCCCTATTTAATCACAGTTCAGTGCAATTACCTAGATAGGTCTCATGGTATGACACCTCACACCTATCTATTGAGATAAACTCTCCTTTGTAGCTTTCTAAATTATTTCCTTTCTAGTGCTTTCCACTCCTTGAGTCATATGGACAAGGGGGAAGGAAGGAGAGCAGGAAGCAGAAAAAATATTACTCTTATCATGAGAAAAAAAAATAGGAAGAATAATTCAGAATTGGCTTTTGAACTATTGAAGCATGTAATCACTTGTTCCAATAATTTATGAGTTACATTTCCTTTCATTTTATTTTTTCTTATTTTCCTCTTAGAGAGGAGGTAATATTCGATTTTCTCCTCTGCCTTAAGTGTTTCCTTTGCAAATGGAAGAGTAGGAGAAAAAAAGCTGGAGGGCAGTAACCTGGGACAATTGATTGCTCTTGGTTACCTTGCAGTTTCTGGTTGTATTCGGTCCTGTCAGACTGGCTCCTCCTCAGGGTACCAGCGTGGTCCCCAGAAACACTGCTCTCAACCACAGTGTCAGTCTTCCTTCTCTCCAGCATGTAGAGCCGGGACCTCAAGAAGTTCAGGTTCTTTTTCTTGGTGCCCATGTTTCCTTTCCCATTGGCTTCTTCTGGCTCCATCTGAGGCAAAGACATGCTTCAGAGGCTGCTTGCTAAAGTGCCTCAGGGCGAGGGTTAAAGCCACCAGAGTGACAAGTTTAGCTGCCTCCTTCTAACTAACC